CTCAACAAACAATCCTCAAAGTCCAACACGCCCATAACCTGCTTCCAAACAAGCCTACACCCATTCCACAAAAGTCCCTGACGATACTAACCACACTAAAGGAACCCCCTGAGTAGTTCTCGCAAGTCCTCCCAAAAAGAAAACACTTGAAGGACACTTACTTTGGATTGGCAATGCGCAACCAAAAGGTGATGTTATCACCAAGGAATGTGGGGAGGCTTGAACATGGGTTGCTTCTCGCATGTAAGCAAGCGAGCCCGGAGACGAGCCTCCCGGCCGGAAGTAGGCATCCCACCGCTCCGTCCGCTCCAGCGCAGGTACCGGGAAGGCCCCCGGGGCCCTGCGCGGCGCCTGCGGAAGTTGCTTCGCCAAATCCAACCGACCGACCAACCGACCACCAAGCAACCAACCAACCAAACAACCGACCCACCCACCCACCAACCAACCCACCCACCCACCCACCAACCAACCAACCGCAAATGGGTGTGAAGTCTAATGAGGGATTTGGTGGACACGAACACTGCCCTGAGATTGAAGGTAACCCCAATGTTAGTTCCTAGCTTACTATAAGGGATCCCGCGCGTAAGGAATTGGGTGAGCTCATGGAGAGCTCGTGAAAAAAGGTTACTCCAATTCCTCCATTTGCTTAACTTAAGTCCCCTGAAGCAAACTTATCCATCTGTTTTCATTGAAACCAACAGGAGAAAATAATGGAAACAATTGGACTCCTGAGATTGCTGGGAAGCATTGAATCTCTCTGAGTGCCGTTGCCGCACCGTCTGGTCTAGATGTCAAGGATTCAGGGACTGGTTGTCAAGGAACCATCTCTAGGGAAGTCTCAAAGAAACCATCTGCAGACCCAAACAAAAGACCAGGCAATTGGGCGAACTTCCTGGAGCATGTCCCGGAGACTCGAAATCCTAGGAGCCTTCGTCGCATCGTAAGTGAGCTGGAATGGAAAGGGATATACTCACTGAACAAGAAGCCTCAAGGAAGCCGTGAGTGCCGTGAAGTGTCTCGGGAACCAACTCGGGATGGGTTCCGTCAAGACTTGGAACCCTGAAGTCGACATCACTTTCCCAATCCAAACACTTCCCCAATGGACAAACATACGTTGCTTTGCGATCACAAGACTTGAAAGGGCTTTCTTGGCCTCATTGCTTTGCCATCCACTCCAAGTGCGCCAAGGCAAAGGCAGAATGTTGCTTTGTGGTCACCAAATCCTGAAATCGACGTATTCTGCACTGGCCAACTTCCTCCCCGTCCCGCCTTCAGAGCAAGGCTTCGAGGCAGGAACGGGTTCAAGGGCGGCAGGCCTGGGAACCGCATAAAAAGCCGCACTGTTGCTTTGGATCCATCGAGCAGATCCTGGAAATGGGAACATCTGTGATTCCGACCTTAAAAGCAGGAAAAAAACACGAAACATGAAACGTATTTCAGCAAATGGACGATACTGTGATTATTTGCTTGAGGGCACACCTGTTTTAGATAGTGTCGAAACAACAAAGAGTCCAACCAATTGACAAGTGGGGGGCTGTCAAAAAAAATGGGCCGGTCCCTTTTGGACCCGTTTCCCCCGGTACGCAGCAACCCCCAACGTGCAAGCTCAAAGTGGGCACTGTGAATCGTGAGAGTCCCCAAAAACGTTGACTGAAAAGGCAGCCCTCTTTTCGATTTCCTCGTGTCTCTTGGAATAGAGGAATTAGTTTCCACATTTTAGGGCCACTGTTCGTTTGCCAAACCCCCCGATTCCGCTGCTAACTTGCATAGGTGCTCTTTCGAGTATGGAGGTGTGCTGTTGTGGAGTTGCGGGGGGTACGCTTTTGGGACTATTGTTCTAACACCAAGCTCCCCCTACTCCAATAGCTGTCGTAATTCCAAAAGTCAGGCCTGGAGTGCGATCACTGTATTCGGCTCTCGTTTTCGCGACGGGGGAGACACCTATGTTCAAACGCACACCTACCAACATTTAGAAACCAGAAGGTCAGTTCTGGCAAGGAAGTCGGCCAAGGATCCTGAACAACTTTCGTTCTACCATGGTTTGTATCGGCCTTGCTACAACCCACATGAACCCAGGTACCTACTAAACTGGCTGTTAGGAAATGGCTTTGTGATCCCTCTACTGCTATCCTCCCTACAGAACTCCTGGTACCTCCTTGGCCCCCATTCAAAAGCAAACTTGGATACACCCAACTCTTTGGGTCCCTGCGAACCACCAGCCAGTCTAGTAGAGCTCCTCCACGGGATTGAATCTATCCTTCTCGTTGTGGTTCCCGACAGTCTCTTCCTGCCAAGGGGAGGGGTTCTCTTTTGCGACCCGGCTCCTCTCGCCCTGTCTCCTGCACTGGCACCACTCCCTGCGGATTCCGTGTAGCCTTGCGTGGCCCCGTGTACTTGAAGACTTGCCATCCGTATGGCCCCTCACTGCGCGGCCTTCCGAACCATGGCCTCTGACGGGCTGACTCCGTCGGTCGGCATGGCTCCACCCTCCACCCACTGCTCGGTCCTTGTCATCGTAAGACATTCTCCACCTTACCCTCAAGCTCATGGGCGGTCGGTGCAAAAAGGAAAGTCGGATCCAACAGTGGACAACCCACCGCCCACATACACCCCACCTACAAGAAAATCCGCATGAAATATTGAGCCCGGATTCAAAAAGTTTGCAGGCCAGGAACTCAGGGAGTGAGCTCTATAAATCAGCCTGCAGTTATTATTTAGTAGTCTGGGGTTCCGCTTACTCACCGTCGACCCGACCCTCTCGCTGCCCAAGCCCCCGCCTAGGCCATCGCCCAGGCCGGCGTTTCTGAGTCGTCCCCGGAGACCCCGCAGGTCCCGAAACCCGAAGCGGGTGCCGTACCTCTCGCGCGGAGGGAGAGCTTTCGCCAGGAACAAAATCGGGCCCTACAGGCCGCCCAGAAATTGTCACGTCCCAGAACCTCGCTTCCGTCCAGTGGATTTGTTTACCACTTAAATGGCCCACCTGGGAGTGAGGAACCTCCTAAGAACCTAAAATCACTAAAGCCTTCTCAGAACCCGTCGATCACGGTACCTTTCGAACGCTTCCAGGTGGCTGCTTGGGTCGGACGTCGCCCGATCGATCCTTCCGATGACACCCACAGGGTCCGGAGATCCTTTTCAAGGAAGGAGGGCCGGCTTCAAAGATTAACACCACTCCAAAAACCTTGCTGTTTCTTGGGTGCAAACCGGACAACCCAGGTGCAAATACCTTCAACCTCAACAAGGGTCCATAGAGAAGGGAACAGAAAACCATTTGGTTGAGATGCGAGTTTGCTTTGGCGGGGTGTTCAACTGTGTCAGGGGTCCCCATATTTCGACTTCTTTCCAAATATGCAACACCACAAGGGGAACATATAGCTTCAAACTGTTTTTTTTGCGGCCACCTACTAAAAATGAACAGAACCAAACAACCGACAAAAAAAAAAACCTCGCCAAGAACAGTGAAGATGGGAACGCCTGGGAACGCAGTGCTGGGCCAACGCCCTTGAGACTTGACAGATAAGACCGGCTGCAGAACGAGGAACGCGTCAGGCTTTGGGACTGGCTGAAGCACTTGTTTGTTCATGACCGTCCCGGTGATTCCATTTCTCTGAGCAGATGACCAAGGGAGCCACGCTTAAAAAGCCAACAGGAACATGGCAGCCTGCCTTCTATAGTGGGCATGGGGCTTCCAGACTGAAGAGACAGCTGGGAAACCCAATTACATTCCTCAGTGCAACACAACATGCTCACTCAACTATATACTGAGCTGTTCAAAGGCAACTTGCACTCCCATTGTGCTTGGAAATCCCGGGGCGCCAGGGCTCGGTCAGCTTGGCGTTGCCGGCGCACGTGCGTGAAACCACCTTGCAGCCCCCCCCCCCCCAAGAGGACGGATGCTAGCGGGGATCTGACCATCCGAAACAGAAATCGGTTTCTGAACAGGAAGTTGGAAGACAGCTTGCCAAACTGCTAAGCTGTATTGGCGATTTGGTGATTAGGGGGGTTCCAATGCACCCTCTTTCAGAACCAGGGGCTCAAATCCCCCAATCAATCCAAACCTCCGACTGAGGAGCCTGAAACTGGGAGGTTTCTGAACAGAAGGATGCGTAAAGAGAATGGAGAATCAACCCGGGTGGACCCTCTTAGAAGAGCTGGCTGTCCACTTTCCTGCTTGTTGCTGAAAAGTATCATTCCTTCATCCCCTTGGGTGCTACATTCATCCCCTTGTCCTGGGGAAGTGCGAGAACTTACTGGGCACCTCTGTAGCAACTGTCCGCCATGCGGGAGGTAATATGCTGCTTGGCCCCTTTACCACGCCATGGAAGGTATTTGCTCTATGGCCCATCAGTATATGGGTCTGTCTCAAAAGGGAACCCACAAGATTGGTGGCTTCCCTTTGCTTTCCGCTTAGAACGGGTACCCTCAAAAATGGCAGGCCTGTTCTTCAAGGCACCCCCTTAGGGCCTTCTTGGGGTGGCTATCCCTTCATGAGGCCAGGATAAGCCAAGGAGTTAAGGGGTTAAGGGAGTTCCTCTCACCTCACCCCCTCCCCACCATAACCCCACTTGGTCCATGACGGTTGGTAAGGGGAAACCAAAAGACAACTCACCGTGTTTCCCAATTGTAACAAGCCAAATGGTTCCCCTGGGTGCGAACCCTTTCTGTGGATTCAACACAATCTGTTTCTTTTCGGGGACGCAAAATAGTGGACATCAAAGCTCGGTGGGGTGTCTGGTTCACCAACCCCTTAGGCGGATCTAGCTCTTAAAATTCAAAGCCTGATGCAGAAAGGTGTTGGCTTCCTTTTAACCCAAAAGGGGTACCATCAAAAAGAGACATGACACACCCGCAATCAGCGTTCCCTCCAGTTGGTGGTTTGGTGGTTGAGGGGTGGGAAACCCCATTTACCCTCTGTAAAACCAAGGGTTCAAATCCCCAAACCACCGATCCAAGGCGCCAATGAACGGGAGCCTGACATAAGACTGCTAGCCCTTCCCAAGGCACCGTGATCAGCGCATTCTCCACGCACAGCCTCTCCAGTAACGCGGCCACAGTGCCTGGCCGAGGCGCGTCGGCTCAAGGTGAAACACATCGCTTCGCTTCCGCTGCTTAGGCGAAAGGTCTCCCTTTAAGGGAAAAGGAATTCCGCTTTGCCATTCCTCCGTTTGCCGAAGCTGTCTGGGGAAAAAAAAAACATGTCCAGCGAAAGACTCCCTTTAAAGCCAGCAGGGGGAAATGGGAAAAGCAACTTAAGCAAATGGAAGCAGTGGGGAAATTCCGTTGTGAAAAACCCGGCTGAGCTCGTTCAAGAGTGTACCTTGTTCTAGGAATTCCTTTAAGTTGGTTCCAAAAGGAACCCAAAGGAAATCAACCATAGAGTAAAACCAGCTCTTACAATCAAAATAAGCTCCCAAATTACGCATGCACGAACATGTTCATTGTATATTCAGTCATTAGTTAAAATCTATTGCATGTTGTTTGGTCGCTTTAACCTGTCGGAGGACTCAAGTGCGTTCTACTACATGCCCCCTACACAATACGCCGTTGTTCAGGGTATGATAGGACATGATTCCACCCCTGTACCAACAAAAACTACTTGCCATGGAAAAGCTGACCAAAGAACGTGCATAACCCCCAACCACCAATCCAAACCACCGGCTAAGGGGTAGCTGACAATATGCCCTGAAGAACAAACAGGCATTTGGAGCGGGTTCTTTCCCTTGAAAAACCACCAACAAAAGGGGCCTCCCCTCCAACCAAATGCACACCCACATAAAATCCTCGGAAAAACAAAAAAACACGCAAGAAATCGAGCGAAAGGCCCCACACGTTGGACACGTTGGACCCTGTCCCAACGCTTCGCGCTTCGCCTGACAGTCCAGGCCCTGTGCGCAGGCGCGCCGGCCCGGCAATGTAGAAAGCCGCCGGCCAGTCCTGAGGAAAGGCCTTGAGAACCCCAATGATTATCCGTATATATATATATATGTATGTATACGTTTGTCTTTTTTGGGGACCCTCCAAATTGGTGGCAAGTCTTCTGGGGTTAAAAATAGGATTCCCCCAAATGGAACCCCGGCAAATGGAACAAAGGACTGAAACCTGTGGTCGCCCCATGATTTTTAACTTGGACGCATACCCAAATATATATATATATATATATACATATATATATATACACGTGCGTGTCGTGCTTAGGGGACCCTCCAAATTGGTGGCTTTTCTTTTGGTTTCCCTTTTAAACCACCCTGGAAAGAGTACCCTCAAAAAAGGCACACCCATACTGGCCCCCTCCGGCGACTGCCCAATGGACGGTAGTTAGCATTTTCCAAAAATGGATCGCAGTTGGCAAAACTACTGCACTTGCGGGATGCACATGGTCATGACTCGCAAGCGGCAGCGTGTCAGTGACATGCGGTGGCAAGCAAGTTCTACGCAGTGACGCGCATGGACTTGCGTTTTGCTGCGTGTCACTGCGTGTTACCGCGTGTCACTTGCGTGTCACCTGCGTGTCCCCTGCGTGTCAGTATGTCAGAACAGGTAATTTGACCGTGTCACTGCGTGAGACCGGCTTGTCACCTGCGTGTCACATGGGTTCTTGCATGAGTCCATACAATCAGCCTTTGGAAACGGGAAAGCGCAAAATAGGCCGCAGGCCCAAAACTCCAATGGTCCAACCCTGACATAGCTGGCCAACAATTAAGCATTACTAACTACTTTCTGGTTGGGTACACAGAAGAAAAACAAACGTTTAGATTCAGTTTCATATCTAGAATAATTACCCCATAATCTTGGAGGAGACCCCAGCTATGTGATGATAAACGTGCTCCAGAACCCCATGACAAAAGAAGACCCAGGTATACCGATTTATCACTGCTTCAAAAAGTGCTACAAATTTGGGAAGTCCCCGCGGCCATGGAAGGAAGCCAAACAAGAACAAGGACCAAAGGGCATTGCAGGAAATGGGAGAAAGGGAAACCCAATTTCCTGCTCTCCCTGCAAAAACCGAACGTAAGCTTCTTTTTTTGCTTGACGGGGGGGGGGGGGGGGGGCTACGTCAACACAACGGGGGCAGATGACTGTGTCCTCTTAACCTGCAGCGTCACGTCTCTATTTCCAACTCAAAACAGCCCCTTTTGTTTGACAAGAACAACAACAAACCGAAACCCATCACCTCCCTCCCCGCCTGCAGGTGCCCTTTCTCCCAAAAACTTGGTTGCTGTTGGCCCTTCTGCAAAAAAAGCTTATTCTTGTGGGAACAATTCACAAAAGTCCACAAAGTCTGAACCAAGAAGTCTTAATATCCAAAGATCCGCTACCAAATCTCACTTTTGCAAAGGACCAAAGAAAAACAAAAGGTTCACCTTTTGGAGCCATGACTAATTAAACATGGACCGAAATGAAACTTTGGGGTTATGACTAGAAATGGGCCAACAACAACAAATATTGAAAAAAAAAAAAACAAGTTTGTTTTAAAAACAAATACAAATAAAGGTCAGTTCAGGTCCGTTCGCTTTGGGCATGGCCAATAGCCATAAAGAAAACGTCTCCTCCCAGAGATCCCGCCTGCATGGCGCCCGCCAGGGCCGTCGCGGCCTCCTGCGGCTTTGCGCGCACGGGTGCGTGCTTTTTTGGAGAAGCTGCCCCCGGTTTTTGGTGGCGTCAAGGGAAAACACAACTTGAGATGTGGCCATTGGCTCAACACATGGAATCCTCAAATCGCGTTCAAAGGGCTGTGGCCCAGCACGCGCGTCAGAGGATCTCCTGTTGGGGAGTCCCCATGTTCTTTACAGGAATTGCCACAGTGCCTCTCTGGGGTCTTTTTTCAGAATGCCAAAGGGGGACCCTGCTAATCAGAGGACCCCCATATATAGATCATGTCCTTGCTAAAAGGGATACCCGGATTAATCCGGTTTGAAGACAGTCTTGTCGCCACGCTCATAGCCTCCACCAGAGAGGACGTAACTGCAACAACTGTTCAAACCACATCTCCTCTTCCCTCCATGGCTTCTACAGTTGCAAAGAGAATCTGCATAGTACTTTGGCGAAGGGGATCTTCACATGGCCGGCTTGGAGGTCGAGAAGGACCCACTTCAATCGCCCCATTGGCGATTTCACCAAGTCCGTTCTCAAAGCATCGCCATCCTGAAACTCCCTGGCCAGCTCTGGTCTGATCTCCCGCAAGAATCTGGGCCTCCTGATCAGCGTCCTCTATGTGGTTTAGGTCCGACTATGCCGATTGCCAACTCGTCCTTGAACGTCAAAACCAGTCCACTGCCTTTTGCCACACCACATTCTTTACGTCGAACGGGGTTGCTTGACCCACTTTGTCTGCAAATTACTCGAATTCTCGGAAACCGGGAAAAACTGGAGTAGAGGAGCTTCATGGGTCAGCAAATTCTGCAATAATTCGAAGACCTGAATTGATAATTGGATCCCCAAGAAGAGGACCTACATCATGGGGTTTTAGGAAATCCATCCGTTGCAGCCACCCCTCGCGAACCCGAATCAACTCGCAACTCGCTCGGATGCTCGTCACAGGGGGGCTTCTCAAAATAGGGGACCCCTATTTTTCGTTTGTCCCTTTTCCTATGTCGAAACCCCAAGTGCTGTCTCAATAAAGCAGTTGTCTGGGTTGCTTTTCACCCTGGGTGCAGAGGGGTGCTGGAAGGTGCTGGAAGGCTTCCAACAAACACCCTTTCAATTTTCCTTTGACACAAGGGTATTCCTTGGGTCGTTTCTGAGTTTACTTCATTTGGGTTTCCTCAAACCATCCCATTGGGACTCGTATTTCCGTCTTGGGGTGGTATTAAAGGGACACCAAAAGGAATCCAGCCATTCTGGGGCTCCCCCACTCACAAAAAAAACTGAAAATCAAAGATGGACCTTTTGGGACCCCCACCCAAAAATGGACCATAGGGAGACGAAAAGGCCAGTTCAGGTCGGCTTTGGGCAGCCTGAAAAAGAGGTAAGCCCATTTTGAAAACAACCCATGGTTCTAGGATTGATTCCAACCATTATTTTCAAGCATTGTCCTTTTCAACCGCCAGCCGTTGTCTCTTGGTTTCCTCAGGTTTTGATGAAGAGGATCCCTGGAAAGAATGGACATGGTCAGGGGCCCTGAATTTCCCCTTCAAAAGTTGCCACTTGCTGGTGGTTTCCATTGAAACTGCCACTTTGGGAGCTTCCAAGAAGCGAAACGGAGGAAACCCTGTGGAAAGAATTGACTTGGAAGGATTTCTACGGCCAAGCGCCAGGTTTGGCTCCTGTGGGCCCAGGCTCTCTGAGGTCAGCCACCCGCACTCCGAGAGACGCAGATTCTCCGCCAGAAGCTCCTTGCTCGTGCCCGGAGTTTCCGAGATGCTTCGATTTCGAAGGTGGCTCGTTTTTGTTCAACGTTTTTCCTTTTGGTTTCCCCTTTACTTCAAACCACCAAACAAGGGGTTCCCCAAAAAAAAGACTCACACCCCTTTTTCGGTGGTTTTAAGCCGACACAGGTAAGAAATCCACATTTTTTGGGGGTCTCCTAGAAAAAGTCACAGATTATGTTTCATATTTAACCTATTGCTTCCCGGCGGAAATTGCTTGCTTGCAAGCAATGGGGTGAGGTATGTGGAACAACTCTAAGGGATGATTTGAACATGGAAATTGTCAAAACGTTGCTGTGATATGGGCAAACTCCGCAAAACGCAACATGGATGAAAACCAATCGCAACTGGTTGATAGACCACCCATCCCAACTGGTGGAGGACGTTGTACATCCAAAGCCAACAAAGGCCATCTGTATGACTTTGTGACTTTGACTCACTTCCTGAGTGGATTGGCCCAAGCAAGTCCACACTTGATACTGACCACTTAAAATTGCCTTCCCCAAAAAAATAAAGTTCAGGAACTCAGGGAGTGAGTTAAAGGGGGGGTTCCTTGGAATCACGAAACATTAGAACCTAAAAGCCATGGCAAAAACTCCGCAAGGAACTGGTGTTGTAGAAACACCTGGCTCAGAATATGTCGTCCAAAGGGATGATGTTTTTGTTCCTCCAAAAAGCAGGGCTGTGCTTTTCTGAAGACCCTGTGTTGGGACAACGTGGGGCATTTAGACTTAGACATAGCGTAGGCTTCCTCTTTATGCCAAACTTGGGGAAGCTGAAGGAACAACCTCGGAATCAGTTTGAATAAAGCATCGGACCCCCCCATTTTCATTTGGGTTAGGAAGATTTGGGTCCGATCATCTACGGGTGCAACAACCAATACATAGTATATTATCATTACCTTTTTTATTATTGCTATTATTATTAATTATTAATTATTAATTATTACTATTATTAGTATTGTTCTTAGTAGTATTGTCATTATTGGATATTATTGATTATTATCATTATCATTAGCAGTATCATTAGCATTACTGTTATTTCCGTCCTAATTATTTCTACTGTTATCATTATTGATTTTATATATATATAACACATCTGATAGACATACATGCTCCCCCCGTACCACCAAAACCTACGCTACCATAATTGCACGTTTCCTTGTTTTTGCTCACGCCGCCATTGGCGTCCCCAGCGAAACTGCATTTGTTGTTTTTTGGCGGGGGGCGGAGGGGTGGGGTGGGGGGGGATGATAGCGTTCGCATCTGCATGCACTCTTGTGCTTCCGAGAGCCGTTAGCCTCGTGCTGTCTCTGCTCTCTCCTTCTGCGTTTTACTTTGTAATCTTGCTTTGTCTTGCTGGCTTTTTGTGCGCTTCCGGATCTGTCCTGTTCTTCGTGGTGCCCTTGCTGTGTCTGGAGGACCTTCATTTAGCGCAATGCCTGCCAGGCGCGGACCCTGTCTTGGACTTCGTTCGGCGAGTGTCCTTGCTGAAGATAGGTACCTATTGCGGCTTGCTGTCTCGCAGCCTCATTTGCTGCCCGTGCGCGTGCTTTGGACCTGCGTTCTGCAATCTTCTCTGCGTCGCTGGCCATTTTCCCAGACCTCCAGCTCCTGCGCGGGCTCCTTCAATGCCTTTGACTGTTGTGTCCAGCCGTCGGGCTGAGCTGTAGGCTTGAACACAAAAATTCAAGACTTGCTGGACCGCTTCATTTGGAAATCTCGGGTTTCTCGGCTTCGGGGAAAGAGTCGGGAATATTTTGGGCTCTTGTGTTTTAATGCCTTAGCCCGGAACAACTAACACTAAACCCGAAAGCCTGAAGACCTCGCATCAAGTCGGATGTCTTCTTGACGTCTACTAGCATTTCTAATTATGGGTGCACCACGAGCCAACAGAGCCTGTTGCAAGACTTAAGCAAGCTGGAACGAGGACGTGCCTGAAGCCGGCCCAGCTTTTGGCCCTAAATTGCTTTTCCAGAAATGAGCCACAAAGTTGTCAATGTCATGGTAAACGTGGGATGTTTCAGCGTGCCTCAAAATGCGACATTTCACAAAGTGCTGGAAGGGTTGACAATTGCACCAAATCACATGATTGAAAAAGTGCGAATTCAGCGGGGCCGCTAGCAGCGGCGTGACCTTGTTTCATAATTCCAGAATATATAGTTATATGCATGTGTATATATGTAGGGTGTAAGAATATGTCCTCATTATGAAAGGACACGTCTCTGAAATCGGGAGCTCTCCAAACGGAGTTCCAGCTTTGCTGCGAACGCCTTCAACCTGGGGGGTCTGTGCTTAACCAACATTCACTGAAGCCCGCGGCCCTTTCGCAAGCTCCCCCTGCGCTCCCCTTCCCGGAGCCCCTTCCCGGAGCCCCATCCTGCGGGAATTCCGGGAGCTGCCGAAGGAAGCTCAAATACCCAAAGAGCAGCTCCAGGATCTCGTCCTCGCGCGGGTGCGGGCTTCGCCCTCCTTTCGGGCAACCAAACTTCTGGGTGCTGTTTTAAAAAAAAGAAAGAAAAAAACAAAACAACTCCCGCGTGGGCCAGTACCTGTTGCCTTTGATAAGATCCCGGTACTTTGGTTGACTTCCAGTGATGGCCATCTACCAGCCCCGAAATGGCCTATTGACCTCGTCTGATCAAAGGACCAAGGTGGGCGGCGGAGGTCAAAAATGGCTGGAAACAGGGTCCCCATGTTCCATGTCCGAGTTGCTTGCAGCGGGTTTGCGCCCTTACTGTTTATGAAAATTGTGTAGGACAACTTCTGGAAATAGCCCTACTGACTGTAAGCCCAGACTTTAGGTCCTAAAGTTTAGGTTTTGCACAGGAATCTGACAAGAGAGAGCAAGGCCATTGAGCACACGTAAAAAAACACGCACATGACTCACATGACCGCATGCACTCAACGCTTCTGTTTGGTCTAGGCTGCTGAGCAACGCTGTTTTGTCAAAGCCACAGGTTACGAATGTTTTCCCCGCCGTGGCGGTTGGATAGGATGAGCCTGCAGACTGCAAACGGCCGAACAGTCACCTGCAAAGTCCGGCCGAAAAGTCCGCCCGTAAAGTCCGCCCGCAACTCCGCCACTACACGCCGCCCGTGCAGCGGAATGTCAATGAGGAAAAAGAAGCGTTGTAGAGATGTCGCCGGTAAAGGAAACCAACCAATGCCCTTACAGAATGCCACATGAGTGCTTCTTGTGACTGCGCCCTTGAAATCTTAGGTAGGCGCTAGAAAGGCCAACTTCTTCTTGGAATTTAAGGGACGGAGTTTAAGTGCGGGTTTAAGGACAGGCGTGAAACCTCCACTCCACTTGGCTGCGCCTTTCTGCATTGCGATTACAACCGAGCTAGAAAAGCATTGTCCCTCAGCAACCCAAGAGATGGAGCTTGATGCTGGCCCATCGAAACCCAGGAGCTGGTCTTGCCTTGCCTTGCAAAACTGAGCCCCCTTTTTCTCAGCCCACATCGTCTGATGCGCCTTCGGGCCTCGATAAACCAAAAGCTTCTGGTGCGCTTAAGCCACGCCCATGCCAACTGGGAACCTGCAAGCTTCGGTCACAATCCAAAATTCCGCCGTCAGCCCAAACCCACGGACGGTCTTCAACTTCCAAAGCCGACATTTCGTGTATCACTGCTGTTGGCTCCAAACCTTGAAAGTGCTGCTGGCAAAGTCGACCCTGCGGCAACTTCCAAACATGAAAATAACAACTGCAACGCAAATGCTGAAAACTGTAAACAACAAACACACATGGCTATAAGGGCTCTGCAGGACCTCCCGGCACGACATGCTTTAAACCCACCAGAGACTCACTTCCTGGGTTGCCACAAGAGAGCTCAAACTGTGTGCCCGCTAATATCAAGTCCATAGGTCCTGTGCGGTTGGATCACGTCTAGGTGTTTAAGCTGGGAAACCATGCGACTGCTTCTGATTTGTGGAGCAACCCCCAACAACCCTCGGTTGTGTGCGGGGTAAAGAATCCCAAATTGGGGGACCCCTTCTTTTTGTGGTTGGGGGAGTGGCTCCATTTTGGAAACACTGGACTTTCCCTCAGCCAAAAGGGGCGAACTGTTGCGCAACAAAAACGAAGTCGGGCGCGTCCTGGTGACGGAGACCTTCGGAAGTGAGCTCAAGGGAAAGCAACCTCGGACTTCCCATCCGCCCGGCCCAAGGTTTCTGTGTGCTTTTCTTGGGGAACTTAACCAAACGCACCCAAAACCGTCGCGGGGACCCTCTTTCCAAGAAATCGGAAAGAGGGAACACTGCCGTCCCCTTCATGCAAATTCCACTGTGAAGTTGGAATGCGGGTCCCAGACCGGTTCTCAAATAGGATTCGGACCCCCTTTTGGTTGGTATCTAAATGGAAACCGCGAGGAACTCAACCCATTTCCAGTGGTCCTCTACTTTCAGAAACATCCATCTACTTGTCTAATAAGACGAACACTCCACTGAGCGGAAGCGACAGCATGCTCTCAGAGGACGTGAACATCGGGGCGGGCCCTTTGGTTCGTGGTTTGCAGTTGTGCTTTGCAGTTTGATTCCGAAGGTCTCAAAGCGGCTGAGGTACCTCGGCGCCAAAGTACAAAACGTACGGGGGGAATCACGGTGTGCAAACATGGTGTTCTAATCGGATTGCAAAGAACGTGGCGTTGCAAGCTGCCTCGTGCCTGTCTCTCTGTCTATGGGTGTCTCCAACTGGGGACCACCCGAAATCGGCAATTTCCCTTTGATGTCCATTAAACAAATCCAGCAATAAAAACTGTGCGAACAAAGACCCCCCAAGAGACCAGCTTGGATGATAGCTGTCAATCCCTTGCTCAGACCAACGAGGACGGGAAACGCCTGGTCATCAGCCCATTTCACGTGTGCCATGGCTTGCCGGACTAAGACGAGAGAAACTCAGGACCCAACCCACTTGCCTTGAGAACAAATGGTTTGTCAAAACTGGGATTCGGACCCCCAAAATGGCTGCGTTCCTTTCGTGATGTTTAACCAGGCTAACCTTCAGATCAAGTTGGGAGAGGAGCGGAGAAGAACAAGCAGAACGGCTAGGCACCATTCTACACCTCTCATCCCGCCTTTTTCTAAGCTCACAAGCTCATGTGCGGGTGTTCCAATCTGAACAGGCGAAACTCATGCTTGGGTCTCCGTGACTCGCATGACTCCGTTGAGACCGACCATGGGAATCTTCAGTCGTGTGCTAAGTTCCTCAGCCAAGGCTCATCATGGCGAAGGTCTCGGTGTTGTCGGCGCTCCCTGCATCCAAGGCCGTGATCCAGCCTGGCACAGGCGGCTTCAACCGACTGCTCTAGCAACAGCTATCTGCAAAGTCTTCAATCATGTGCAGAAAGTAGTAAAACACCCTCCCTGCAACAGTCATGGAAGCTGACAAAAGGGCTTTGGAAGACTGCTTTCCTTTTTGTGGAACCTCCTTCTCCACTTCTGGTGGTTGGAACGAGGGTAAGAAATGCCAAGGTAGTATCCCCTAACAGCCCGGCGCCGCCTGGAATTCGCCTGCATCCTGGAAAGCTTTGCCCTCCCCCCCCTTGTCGCCTATCTGGGCCTATCGACCCCCATAGCTTCCAGCTGAGTCAAAATCGAACTAAGAATTGGCTCAAGTAAAGAACTCCGATCGTGAAGTCGGTAAATTTACCCCGGGCCGATGCTGCATGACTGTCTAGCCTTTGCTCACATCCGATCGAGTTTGCCCAAAAAATGCTCACAGGATCTTTTTTGCCACTAAACTGGTCTTCCCAAAAAAACAAAGTCCAGGAACTTAGGAAGTGACTTACTTGCCATTGTTCCACCAAAAAACAACAACGGAACCCTCTGGAGAGGGCGTTACCCTCTGGATTCAGGGTTCTTGCCACTCCAACCTCGAGAACGTGCGTATGTCATCTGTTTGGCAAACGGCGATCAACTCAACTGGTGTTCGAAAATCTTGCCAAGCTGGAGGGCACCCAAAAAAAAACACCAGACTTGCCGCCGCGCCCTTGGTTCTCCACATGTACCCAAGCCAGAAAAGAGCGTCCCGCCTCGCCGCCGCAGCAGGGCGCAGAGGCTCTGTGGGCCCTCGTGGCCCAAGACAGCCCCCACCTGCGGGCCGAGAGACTTATTTTCTGTCCAGCGAATCACGGATTTGCACGGAAGTGCACGGGGCCGCTCTTTTCAAGAGGCCAGTCTGCCCCAAACAAATTTCTGCCAGCTTTGATTGGCGATGAGAATTGGCAGACTCAAGGAAGGGATTCGAAGCTGCAGCTTAGTGCTAGCGCATCTGGCCAAAACAAATCGTGACCTCCACCTTCAACCTGAGGGGGGCCGCAGGATCCTTTCCACATCGGTTTGGACAAAAAAGTGCAGAGGCCTTTCGAATCCACAAAACTTGACATTGGCAATTCCGGGGCTTGGAAACCGGCAAAACGAGGACCAAGGAATGTTGACCCAAGACTTATCGACCTCTGAGTGATTAAAAACAGGCGGGTGTCCTTTTTTAGAGGGACTGTTCACCTCAGGAAGCACCCTATAAATCCGAGCTGGTTAGTACGGGGTCAACAGTGGGAACTGGCACATTCAAAAGGGGCCAACAAGTCTACATAGTCGAACCAAAGAGCACCCAAATGCAACCAAGCTAATGACCCCTGTGTCTGACTTGAGCCGCAAAGCTGGGGGTGTGTTTCCTGGATTTGTTGATCAAAACTACATGTGCTTCTACAAAAGCCTTGGGTGAAGACGCGGCACTACTTCCATCTGTTGCCTTGAATTCTCTCGGTATAGGACCCTTGGGCTAGCTTCTACAGCCCATCAACTTAAGACTCGCGGGAAACAAGACCCAGCTCCGGGGAATCCATGATGCAACGCCTATAAGAAACACCAAGGGTCATGGCAAAACGCCCGGAAGCAGAGGGTCGAAGTATGAAACGTGATCTGGACATCTGGACATATTTTGTGTGCACCCAGGATGTTGCCAAGTGTTCAGGTCCAAAAGGGGGGGGTCAAGGCGGAAGCACTGGGAGAAGGATGTCCTCTTCTTGACCAATGCACTGGTGACTCGGGGCCCAACGTGGGAGCTGGGATTGTACCAGCGCCAGCTCGAGAGGTTCATACCTCAAGGTTCATTTTTTTCTCGGGGGGGAGGGGGGTTGGGGGTAGGAGCGGGGAAGTGGACGATGAGGTTTGGGCAGGCCATCTTGAAAAGACTTCTGGACAAAATCAAAATATCCAACGGGGGAACACTACAACAAATATGAAGCAAAGGGAAGTCCAGTTCCGTGATTCTTGAAAAAAACAACAGTAAGAACCTGCTGGATGAATCGGGCGGCTGTTGGCCCCAAAGCTAATCCGGATCGTCTGGAATTGGAGCCCCCTCAGCATTAATTACTTCAATGGGTCTATGAGGTCCTGGGCTCCTATTCCGGGCAATCTTTGGAAGATCCGTTGTGGTCTGGCCCTCGTAGTCTTCCCCAAGAAGGTGTTGTTGTTTCTGTTTGGGGGAGGGGAAGTTCGGGGGCCCCGTGAACAAAAAGGTGGCAGGTCGGACCCCAAGAGCCGAAACGATATGTCCTTTCTATGAACGCATTGCTTGGCCTCCCAAAGCGGCCTGTCTTGGGCTTCCATGGAGAAAAAAGGATCGGTGCTTGTTTTTCCTGTCGTAGTTGTTTTTTAATAGACTCCCACCCCCAAAACAAAAGAACCGGCACAAAGAGCACTTCTGGAGGCCAGTGGTTTGGGTCTTGACCGGATCTGCACTAATCTTGGTCTCAAGATCATGGCGTTGTGTTCCTCGTGGTTTTCCTTTAGCACCACTCCAAGCAGGGTTGACTCCCCACCACCCCAAAAATAAAAACGAAAAATGGTGTCTCTTTTTGAGGGTACCCCTTTGTTGTGGTTTTGAAGGAGAAGGACAAGCAAAGCCGTTGCGCCAATTTGGGGACCCGGTCCGCTCAAAGAAAACACGAGCCCATACTGCTTCAGCATGTCAGCCAAGGAACCTGACGGCCACCCGTTAACCTTTGTGTCACCCACCCACCAAAAGCTGTCACAATGAGGGCGCTCGAGTTGCGGAACAAAATGCGCCTAATTGCGGAACAATAAAAAAACAAACAAACTGTACAACGCCTTGTAGGACATGTAAGAGTCCTGGTAAGAGTCCGTGTCAGAACTTGTAAGAGTCCTTGCAAGTAAGACCCCTTGCAAGACTCCTGGTAAGGCCTTGTAAGAGTCCTTGCAAGGCCTTGTACGAGTCCTTTCTGTTACGCAAATTGGGATGTCTTCTTACGCAACCGGTCGTTCTACTTTCGTTATTAGAATCGATGTTCGCAATCAAGAAGGTTCCTCCAACCCTGGGGCATGTGAATCATCGCGCAAACAGTTTAGTGTGGTTCACAAAGGACCAAGAGGAAAAAAACAAAAACAACGCCGTGGCCCACACCGAATCCGTTCCAACAGACCGGTTTCCCCTTTTGGCACGGGCGGTTTTGACGTAGTGGGCTGCAGGGAAAGAAATCGGTAGGACAAAGGTATGAGAGAGGTGCGAACCGTTGAGTCGATTCAGAAAGGAAAAAAACCTTGAAAGCTCAAGATCGAAGACCTAGTGCCAAAAGAGATGAGGGGCCCCTAAGAGGTCACTGGTCAAACTCGCTCTCCACAATCCCCTTGTGAGGAAAATGGTCTTGGAGTCACTCCGCGGTCAGGTCCAGGGAGGCGATCTCACCCCTCTTTGTGAGGTCGCTCTGGGAAACAGGATCCACCCAGACCAAAACCCGAAAAATATGCCCTGGCTTGCTGGACTTGGTGGTTTGGAGCCCAGTGGCTCGGTGGTTAATTAGATTAGGGGGTTGGGAAACCTGATTTATCCTCTACAAGAAGCAAGAGTTCAAATCCAAATCCAAACCACCAATTCAGGGGTACCTGAAATATGGCCCGAATTGTTCGTCGGGGAGAAGGGTTCAAGGATATGAAACCAGTGTCTAAACAACCCCGTCTTTGGCTGACTGTTTCGAAAAGGTGGTTCCTAAAATGATTGATTTCCTTTTGGCTTCCCTTTGGGTCCCAAGCGAACAGGGTAGAGGGTCACCATCTCTCACTTCTGATCGAGTGGATTGGCCCACAAAAAGTCCACATGTTTCATAGTTGCCTTCCCAAACAGGAACTCAGGGAGTGAGAGACATCTCCCGCCCTCTCGTGCATCCGAAGGCGCCCTCGGCAGGCGCCGGCGGCGCCATGTCCCGCTCGAACGTGGGGCTTTCCGGAAGGAACTGCACCGGGAAAACCACCTGAGTGGTAGCAGACCCAAGTATTACCCTCCCGACTCACACGGAACCCCAAAAGCAGTCAGGCTCCATGTGAAGGTAACTGTGTACATGCTGCTGTTCAAATTGATGCGCTTGGTGCATCACGTCCGTGCGAATGATTCATTGTCAAATAGAGGGTTGCATTCAAACCCTTGATTGAACCATGAGATGAACATGGTCAAACAAACCACTGATTGGACAATCTCGTGGCTTCCCTTTCAAGGAGACCAGCTGTTGGTCGTGTAAACAGACTTGGCACAGCGCTGGTAACCCAACTGAAAGGTTCCTTTCAAAGCGCTCCAACTACTGTACCTTTGTATTGGCGCGGAACTCAAAATGCCCAAGTTGCCGCCTAATGTCGACAACCGGGTCTGTCTCACAAATCGGCTTGAAGCAAAACGAATCAGGGCTCCTCCCTCTCCACGTGTGAATCTGTCAAACATGTCTCGGCCCCCAAACGAGCAACCAAAGGGGGCAAATTTGAGAAACCACGTGTGGCAAATTGGGGAAGGACTTCTTGAGGACACCGAACGACTCCAAACGCGCCGGCCTGCAGGGACCGCGCGTCCGAGATGGGCACTGCTTCAGCACCTTGCGGTGGGAAATCCGCCCGAGAACTTTTGAGACCCAGGACCCCCTACGCAAGGAATCCTCATGGGAAGGTTGGGGCACGCTCAAAAGGTATGCTCTCAGAAATCGTGGACACTTGTCGAGGCTGAAATGCATGTACTGATTCAGAGCCAAGGGAAGCCATTGCGACCTAGTGAGTGACTATCAGGGGCCGGAAGGACCAGTACGGGCCATTTTCCTGGGTTCTCTCTCAATGAGGGACTCGTGTGGATGGTTGGAACTCTTTTTGTCTCTCTTCAACCCCCCAAAAAAGACACATGTTTTGAGAAACGCCCATCTAGGCGGAAGTCGTATGCGAGTAAGAAAAGGGGATGGACAGAAAAAAGAAAAAACAACATGGGGAAATTGCACCATGTACTGTCACCCAGCTGCAAACAAGCCTTAAACAACGGCTGCAAACACCCACAACTTGAAAGCCTGCCTGTAAGCGCCTGAGAAAGTCTAAAGCCTCAAATTATCAGCAAACGGTGCTGTGATTGCCATGGTGTCCCGCTGCAAACTACTAATCGCGTCTCTCGCAAAGAACTGAAACTCAGCAACTACCCCTTCGGATTCCCCTCTGTGTTTTGCTCCTGAAGCAGATCAACAAACTCTGAAACACTCTTCCTCCTTGTCCACCTTGAGACATTTCAAATCTGACTCACGAGCGCCTCGGCGGACTTTTTCGGCCGAAGTCGCAGCCCGAGTCGGCCCTTTTGGGATCCGGGGGGGGTCTTTGGGGGACGAAACAACCGGATTGGACCGGACCCAATGGCGCTTCATCACATTCCCAGGGGTTCGGCGCGCGCCGAATGCGGTTTTGGGGGGATACTTGCCCACATTGACCCTCCAAATGGGCCAAATTTGTTGGTAAACATATATATATATATAATATTGCCTATACGGAGTAGTGGGTAAGGATACACTTTGGAAAACCGTCGAAAGGGTCGACCTGCTGTTGTCCGTCCGCCCTTCGGGCCTTGTTGAAAGGCCTCGGGCAGGAACAAGGCCTCGTTTCGATAGGCCGCCGCAGGGTCGTCTGGACCTGGCGATTGGACGAAATTCGCTTCTCTCACCGCGAAAGGAAACCAGGCGTGAAAAATATGGTATAGGTATTTACAAGGGTACCATCATTGGAGGGTTTCTTGGGTGTTGAAGGATTTCGCCCATCCATAGCATTTGCAGGACTTGGTCCCTCCAAAAGTGGGTGAACCCCCACTAAAAGAGGACCCCCCGAATCAACCAGGGGTTCTACTTAGATGGGGGATCCCGCTACAGATTGCGGGCTTGGCAGAGCTACTTTGCGGCCTGGTTTCCCTTCAAAAACGCGTTCGAAGTTCAGCTCGGAAAAAAACAAAGATATCTTGCTATGGACGAAACATCCTGCTTTCTTGGAGTCGCCGTAAGAATCCCCTTCTAGGTCACGACGTTGTTTCGCGGGGACCCCTTGACACCAGCCAAACAGGTGTTAGGCGGGGGTGGAATGGGTTGTGCATGCTTCTTTGTGCGATGGGACTCGGATGCGACTCTGTCCAACGGTCTCAAAACAGAAAGGATCCGTCATACGATCCCGGTGCTGACCTGCGAGCTTGTTGACTGGCCACCAAGAATATTAAGTGCTTTTGCCAACTCAACATGAGTACGGGAAATGGGTCAAATCCTTTCCCACATCTGTGGCTGGGAGGTCTTTCATGTGAAAGGACTAAGGGGATTTCAAAGTGTTCCTTAGCAGTCTGTACAGGGGTTTTCTACATCGACTAGCAAGCGTCTGAGGAATGAGTACAGGGAGTTGCTTTCCTGTTGAGTTTGCCACAGACTCGCGATTCATCCTGAGCCTGCGGGAATCCCCGCCAAGGCCGCCATAACATCAAATCCTTAAAAGGGTCCCCCCCCTTTGGGAGATAATAAGGACACTACCACCCGAGAAAAAAACTCCTTTCCAGAGTAGATGACCCAACCAAAAGTCCAAACTTTTCGTCTACCGCTAAAATGACAACCAAAAAGGTTTAAAGTCCAAGAACTCAGGAAGTGAGAACAGGCGAACCGGGGTTCGCACCCTGGCACCCCGCTGGCCCATTTGCCTCCACCGGGGATGCCGCCGAAGAAGGACTCGGCATAACCTCGTGCCGTCCTCCACCCCTCCAGCCAGTGCTTTGTATGTTGAAAACCCTTCAGGGTTGTCCAAAAAGCAGTCGTTGGGGTGCTGGGGTTCAAAGCTGGGTGGCATGGTTGTGGAATGACTCTTTCTGCGTTCGGGAGAAACCCCCATGGTGAACCTCAAAATTTGGCCCACATCCGAGGTACACAAAGCAGTATGTCCAGAGTATGGTTCATCAACATAGCAGGTAAGGCGCTCATATCTCCAATTTTTTACATGATAATCTTCCCTGCTTACTGGAACTTGAAGCGTTTTTGGGGTACTTGGAGGAGACCCCAGGCCTCAGCCCTTGGATTCCTTACGTAGGGCCCCCCACGCCGCAGCTCTGTTGTGGACTCGCGGCCGATGATGCACAACGTCATCAGCGGCGCCCGGTAGAAACCTTGAAGGCGCGATCCGCTGAAAATTGACGCAAAGAGGCTAAATCTCGGAACGTTGAAGTTTACAAGTGGGCAGCAAGGAGCGCCCTGCCAGTTCGCACGAATGCAAACGCCGACTGTTGGGACCACTTGCGAAATGAAGTCGCTTCAATGTCGATTCATTGAAGCAAAAAGCTGCCCGTCCACCAAGAAAGCTGCCCCTGCCCCGCCCACAATTTTCCCTCGGGGATGTTCCAATGGCCCCATGTGCAGAAACAGTATCACAAGGTAGAAAGCTGGCAAGGAAAACAGAAGGACCCAATACCAATTTTACTCCAAGCCCTGCTGGATTATCTTGAGGTTCGGAACAGCCCGTGGGGAGGGTCAATGTGTCACGCCAGCCGTTCAATGGATACGGATCAAGTTAAGCAGCTTAAGACCCACTGACCTTCGGTTCTAACATGTTGTTGTGCAGGTTTGCATAGGCCTCACTAGTGAGACCCAAACCAAGTAGTACAACCCCTTCTCGGTTGCTTTCTGCTCCCCTGTTAAAAGTTTAACTTTTAGTGGTTTAATGGAAAACCCATTAGCCGGCAAAAAGTTCAAGCCCTAACATCCCTTCGCGAAATGCACCAAAGCCCTGTATGACATTTGGTTCTACTAATATATGTATATATGGTTGTGGAGGTTTACATACGCCTCACTAGAGAGACCCACAAAACCAAGTAGTACAACCCCCTGTTGACACAGGTGTTGGGCACTGCTCAAGTTGAGCCAGTCGCAGCCTTACCCTCCGACAGCGCGGATATTGTGTTGTATTTACCGAGAAGGGAAGTTCCCTGCCCCCGATATGTCAGAAACCAACAGACAAATTGAACACAACCAATCAACAAACACACACACACGCACACACACACACACCAAGACCACTGAAGATACAACACAAAACAACATATTGTATACATCTATATATGTATATATATACCGGAATTCCATAATTGTCATGAGAACGCCAATATGAACTGGTCAACGAAATACTCGAGGTGCATCAAACCCCGGCCGAGCCACGATGGTAATACTCCAAGAGCTCTCCTCGAAGGTCGATGCCTTCGCCGAGGGGTTGGAGAGCCATGCGTCCGTAAAATCAGGGTTCGGAACCCCTAAAAAAGAAAACCAGCCAGGGAAACCCATGTTCTGGGCCAGACTGGGACCAAAAACTTGGAGGTCAAACCAAGAAAGCGATTTTGGATCATGGTTCAAGCAAACTCATCAATCTGCTTGACGGACCCAACACCCTGCTTGGGAATCAAGGAAAAACCAAAACTGTGAGAGACCAAATAGTGGTTTGGGGGGGCTGGGGCTTCCATGTGACCTTCTATGTGTCGAGTTGGGGTACATGGTTTCCCGTGAAGCCAACCTTCAAACGGTCAACCAATCCCCAACTTAAGGATAGACTTGTTGAGCCGCCCCCAGCTGGACGTGAGCAAACCAGCAGCTGAAAAGGCGACAAAGACTTAAAGCGCTGGGTCAGGCGCTGAGCAAAGTGCGCAAAGGCACTCAAACGGAAGCTCCATTGCACGTGCCTCAAACAGAAGCACGAACTGCAACCCCACCTTGCGGCCGACAGCCAAATACCTCAAATGTCGCTTAGCTGAAAAACGACATCACTTCCTGAATAAGGAGACCCGTCTTGTGGACCCGTCGCTCGTCTCAAAGCATCCAGACTCAGATTTTCGTAGGCCATGTTTCGGGAATGATCGAGATGCCACAAATGGAAGCACTGTCGCTAAGGCTTGTCCCGCGACTGACGGCTCATTTGGGCACATCTGCAAAAAATTGGGCATGATCTTGAATACTTGATTCGGGACCTATTGGTGGACATCATTTAGCTGGGGGTTCCTTTCCATTAATCACTTTTGAGGTGGTTCCTTATTAAAACTCATAGCCATTTAAATTCTGGCCCGGATTAAGTGTACCTAAGGATGCAAAATTGACAAGAGATCCCACTGTAGAGGCCATGATCCTTAAAACAAAGCTTACGCGTGGTTCTCTGTGTGTGTGTGTGTTGCTTAAAGGGGCTCTATGTTGACTCAAATTTCCACACATTCCAGCTTGGAATCACCTGCCGCGTCCCGCCTTGCGCGGAGGTGTCTTCTAGGAGGGTCTTGGTGTTGCCGGTCCTGAGGATTACATCCACCGACTAACATGGAACCTGACAGGGGGGTCCTGGAAGACTTGCCGTTTAAAGGGACCACCTGTGGGAGAGTACATGGCCTGGAAAGATGGCGTTCAATAGGCCGAGAAGGTCGTCTTGAAAGCTGGGAATTCAGTACGCACATCCGGCAGAATTCCCTGGGATATTTCATGTTTGGATCCACGGATCAACGTTTGGAGGACTCCTAAATTGCCAGAGAGGTCAAGGCAAGCCGCAGAGCGCTTCTTAGGGCTTGTCCTGGAGACCCCCTTCTAAAATGATGAAAGGCTAGAGTTGGCCCACTCACCAGTCATCAGCAGTGGTTGAGACATGTCCATGGGTCAAAAACCCGTATCCCCAGTGAACATCCCAATCCGCACTAAAATGGACTAAAATCGGTGGTGCACCTACCCCAAAACGGTACAACTGGTTTTGACCCACAGCCACATGTTTGAACAAGGGGGTTGGTTGAACCCTGAAACAAGCACATTGCCAAGCTGGGCGTCTCGTGGCAGAAAACTTCAGTGAATACCCACGAATGCAAGTCCATGCGAAAATGCGCCCGACTGCAACGATGCCCAGTTGCCAGCAGTTGCCTGACAAGCTGACAAACAGCTATGACAACATGCATGTGCCCGGAGGTTTGTCCACACAACAGTTCACATCGCCAGGGCCAGATTTGCTGTGGATATGACTTGGGCACGAATTGAATCCTGGGAAAACAACATCTCCAACTGGAGGTTTGAACACAAAATGCAAACTACCCTCCTTTCAACTAACATGTAGGAAAACAGTTTTTGAGGACCCCTCAGTCCAGTTTCATGTTAGTGGACAGTGGAGTAACTCTGCTAAACGCCTTGGGCATGCTAGAGTTTCACACTTAGATACGCAGGTAAACAGCACATCCGATGGAGTCTTGGCGGGCCTTCCAGCACTCATGATCTCATCCCGCGGGAAACAGCCACTCGAAGGGTTGTTGCACTCAAGTCTGGACTACACCAGGGCAAATCACCGAGAATGGTCCAAGACAGCAAGGGGGTATCTTGAAACAAGACAGTTTCATGGTTTGAGTGATTTCCCCAATATCCGCAGCAGAAAAGAACCCTTGGAACTGGATGTCGGAGTAACATCTCGTCGAGGCGCCCGAACTTGTGGTACGGGTGCGCAGGGTTGGCGCGGCTGTTCAACACCTGGAACCGAAGGTTCCACTGAGTCTGCCAAAAAAGCCCGGTACCTGGAGTTGTTCGATCAGCTCCGTTTGATCTCGCTAGAATATTTCGAGAATCAAATGTCACAATGTAAAGTAACCAACAGGTCCAGAACAATACATGGCTAGCCAACTCCAGGTTTGAACACATGCGTTCTGAAAAAATAAAACCTTTCTGTGATATCAAGGTGATTGACTACTCCAGCACTGTAAGGAGGATTCCCTTGGCATCACAGAAGCTGCCTCTAACACCCACTAGTCCACCATCATGACCACATGTTCAGCTCAAGTGTGGGTGTCTTTTCTGTTGACCACTACACCTTTTTGCTTGGTTGCTCCGAAACAGCCGCCATCAAAAAGGACAAATACACACACCTTTTTGTTTGGTTGCTCAGAAAAAGCCGCCATGAAAAAGACAAAGACACATGTTTGGAGTCACATCTGACGAGTTCCAACCCATGGGCGCCTGGCCGAGGCGGTAGACATCATTGGGCCTGGGTCGAAGACTCGCGACGTAGAAGCTGCGCAACTCCCAGACAACCAATGCAGATGGCCCGTGTTTGGACATTTAAAAGGGCAATGGTACGAAGCTTCCACAAAATGTTTTTCAGAATGCAGCGGATGACTCAACCTGCCGAAGTAGGGGGGGTTCCTTCAATGATGGGTTCCTTCAATGATGGGGTTCCTTCACAAGCAATTGAACAGTGGCATATCAAACCTATAGTTTCCAGTTTTGCCCATTGCATACCCCAGGGGTACATCCAGGACATGATCAAAGCAAGAAACGAAAACACACACACACACAACGGTGAGTTACTGTGTTCCACTCGCCACAACCACCTCAAATTTTGCCCCCAACCAAAAACCGTCTGTTTTGACTTTGGCCTGCATCTAGCGAACCTTGTGTCGAAGTTCAAGAGAGATCATGAAAATACAGAGTGACAGGCGAGGTGTCAATACCCAATCCGGCAAACGTCACACACTGTTCAACTCCATCAAGATTCCATGTCTTCCCCAGAGATCACTCCACCCAAAGCAAACTCACTCTAGTGTGGCTAAGAGGATTATCTTTACAAGCCAACCAGAAGCAACCCGCATAAGGATTGACCAATCAATGTCGGGTTCTAAAGAAGCGGGATTCATTCAATGCAAATTGGAAACCAGGTGAGCGTCACTTGAACTTGTCATGTACATTTGCGTGAATGTTAACTATGGCTCAATCGAGTTGACGTCGTCTTTTTTTTGTGGGTGTGTCTTTCGAGTGCAATCAAGCCAGGTGGAACCACATACCAAAATGGCGAATGGGGGCTTCGCTGTTAAGGATTCGGGAGGCGCTCCTTGCGCAGTATCTAGTTCTCCCGCGTTTTATCGTTCGGAGTCCAGAAAACACAAGGCCCCCCCCATGTGTATCCTTCCAATTGGCAACCAAAAGCTGGTGTGTAAAACCAAAAGGGGAATATAGGAACCCAACAGGGCAAGCGAAGGCCTTTCTCAGGGAAGAGCCTAAGAAAGCCTCTTCTGATTGAACATGCAGATTAGATACAGTGTCGCAATCGACCGGGCACATCTTCGGTCAAATGTCGGGCATTGCTCAACCCAAGCCTGGTTAACTATCCTCTTGCCATGTTCTGTGTTGCGGTATTCGCACAGTCGCAGAGATTGATGGGGACCCTTTGGAAGACATCCTTTAGGTGGGGATCCACGTCCACCAACCACTTTGGAGGGGGAGAGTGGACAATTTCCGCGATCCACATCATCTCGATAAGTGAAAGGGGTATGGAATCCACAGACAAAAAAAATGGCGCAATCTACTTTCACCAAACTGTACAGAGTCACAGCACCTGATGACTCCTCAAAATCCGCTCTATCTCGAGCCGACGTCAAGCAAACTTGGCCAGACTTAGACCCCTACAGAACTACTTGCTGATTAAAACGGAACAGACAGAACACCCAAAAGGGAAGGGTAATACAGGAGCTAAAGCAACTAGAATCGGGTTGTGGGCTCCTTTAAAACCATATCTAGTCATCCGGGAAACACTAGGACAAATGTAGGCCCTGACGAGAGAAAAAGTGGCTCCGGCAACACACAAAGGCGCTCCAACCAAAGGTCCCCATGCAGAGTGGCACGTTCTTGAGGTGCTCGCTGTTGATGGCATTCACCTCAGCGCAGGGAAGAAAACCCATAGACTGTTGGCTCTACGCGTTTTGCAGAAAGGCTTCGGTGTAAGCCAATTAAAACCCGGTAGAGCCTCCAACTTGCCATGGCTGCAGCTCTGAGTGTCCAACTGAACTTGAGTCACAATCAAAACCCGGTCTTAAAATGGTCTACCCAGAACCATGCGAAGAATCAAGAAGGCGGATCTCCGCAACTATTTCTGGCTACTGCCCCTTACTAACCTAACCATCTACCCGAATCGGTTTTCAGCAAGTGGCTCACCTTTGCAAGGAGTCAGTGAATTGCATTCCGCAACCTGGGGCCTGGCGCCTCGCGGCCGGTGGCGCTGGCAGTGAAGAGGGGCTGCTGGAAGAAGGCGCCGAAGCGCTGGAGCGCGCCTTTCAGCGCCAAGACGCCGCAGGAGAAGAAGAAGCAGGTGTCCTGGCCGCTTGGAAGGGAATTCTGCTTTGCAAATTCTATGTTCCAAACTGGAACAAAAGATTTTGGTTTAGCCCAAAAGGGGAGTCTGTTTCAGCAGATTCTTGGTATGCTCCAAACTGGGGTCTCATGTGTTGGTGTCTTTTGACGACCAAGATATGTCCAGGCGCGTATCCCAACCGCAACCCCCGGATGCGCTTGAAATAAAGGAAAGTGGTTAAACATCAGCGTCATCAGTGTCTGGGAAGACTATTGTGGAACAACCCTTCTTGTGGGCACAGCTGACATTGAAAGGCACCAAGACGGGATCTTTTTTGAGGATGCTTTCTTCCGGAGTTGCAAAGTTAGACCATCATGTTTGGGGCTCCACCCTTGGAGGTAACCCCATACTGAAATGAGTTGGTGCATAGTCCAAAACGTTGTAAAAGCCATGTAAACCTAAACGCAGTATATGTGTGAGCGAGGTTTGGACATGTTGGGTCTACACGAGTGGAGGAGTAAAGGTGGCACCCAAATGAGCAAGCGGGCAAACGGGTGTGCAGAAGGGACACGGATATTACGACAGCTATGGCCGCACCACCCCAACCTTTCTGCAGGCTGCGCGCTATCTGTGCCGTTTGCATGGCTTGCATGATTTGATGCAAACCATGGAAAGATTGAAGTAGGCAAGAATCCGGCTCTGAACTCTCTGTCGAACTTCCTCACAAAGATCTATGAAGTCCTTCTCCGAGCAGCCAGCCCTTTTTGAGCCGCAAGCCAATCGCAAACCGTCCAAAGAAGTCGAATTGGCGACATTTCCACTTGTTGATGGTGACTTCTTCCTCCTTCGCGGGACAAAATCCAGAGAGACATCCAACCCGCCTAGGGGCAACAACTGAAAGTAGTCAAGCACTTCTCGTAAAGATTGTCCAAATGCATTGACTGGAATGAACACGTGCTGCACTTCTCCTTCATGTCTGTAATGGAGGCTGTTCAAGTGGAGGAGCAATGCCCTCCTGAATTGCTGCAGGCCGCCTTCATGTGTATGCCATGGACCGCCCCCATCACCATTGAGTTTGCAATCAAACTCGTGTGTCCAGTGCAGTTGTCTCACCATCACGGCCTCATTTAGGTACAAAGCCTTCAGTACAAAAAGGCGGCGATTGTCAGCTGAGTAGTAGCGTCCACAGGACGGATGCACGGCTGCTCGAATCTGAAGCTGTTCCAGCCTGATAGATCCGCGCAACAGTTTAGATGTCCATTGCAGAAGATCTTCTTGGCGGCCGCGGCCATTATCAATTCTTTCTGGACCGTTCTCTGCGTATTCCTTATATCCTCAACTTCAAGCAAACACGGAAGCGCCATCGCCTTCGATGACGTTTTATGGCCTAGGCTTGCTCATATCAGCAAGCCGCTTGGGCCAAGAATATCTGCGACACCCGGGAGCCGCTTGCCCTCTTGGACACGCACGCTTCCCCAGGTTTGCATGGCCCTTTGTGTGTGTTTCTCCACACTTACTTGGACCAGGATGTTTGATGTGGCTGTGGGTCAAAACCAATGGGATCCCATTTTGGGATAGGTGCACCACCCAGTTTAGTCTATTTTAGTGGTTGGATTGGGATATTCACTGGGGGTACGATTGGAATTTTGACCGATGGCCATGTCGTTTCTTTTTTTTTTTTTTTAACGAACAAGGGGTCCACCATTCGAAACCACCACCTCCATTTGCTGGAAATAAAATAGAAATGTCCAGTAGTGCTAGATTCCCTTTAAAACCAACATGGGGAAAAAAAAAAAAAAAACAGAAAAACAAAAAACATTCTTAAGCAAATGGAAGACCACAAAGGGGACGTCCAAGCCTCAGCCTCGGTGAAGGCGTTGGAGAAGCCGCCGTTGGCCGTGAGGTAGGTGTCGAAGCCTGCCCGTTGGTCTTCCAATGGGCTTGTGACTTTTGAGGAATCCCACAAATCCCATTTTCTAGGGGTACCTTCCCCATTCTTTCCAGGGATCCTTCTTTTCAGGAAACCATCAAAAAACCAGGGAAAACAGCCGGTTGTTGAAAAGAACGATGGTTGAAAAAGAATGGGGAATCAACCCCTAGACAGTTGGCCAAAACAAACCGATGGAAACACGACCATTTTCAGTGCGCGTTTCAGGTTCATGAGATAAATATGGGTGTGTCTGTGTGTTGGTTCGTGGGGACTCCTTCAAAATGGCCTCGGATCCTTTTGGCGATTCCGCTTGAAACCAACCCAAAATACAGGTACCCTCAAAAGAGACGAGGCCCCATATAAAGGAAGACCAAGATTTTGGGGTCAGACTGATTTGGACCTCCAAGTCCCAATCGAATGGACCTTCAAGCCCTCTGCCCCTCGACCTCCATGCGGGTGGCTTCTTTTGTGGGTACCATTTTGGGGGGCTGATTTAAAGGGAAACCAAAGGACACCCGAAGCCATGTTCATTTTTAGGTTGGTACTCCTATTTTGTCTTTGAGACAAAGCCATACCACCCACAGCTTCAACCAAAGAACAAAACTCAGCCCGACCCCGACCCGCCCCACCCCGGCAAAACAAGCCCAGCGCTGCCCGCGCGTTTTGCCGCGCGGCTGTTCTCCTCCGGAAAAGGCTCGGTGCCCAGGAAGAGCATGTGCTCGCAGAAGTGCGCGAGGCCCGGCACCGTGGCCGGGTCATTGAAGTAGCCTAAGAGAAAACTCTTGGAGCTGAAAGGACCCGGACATCAACGGTGATCACCTTTTGGAGCCACTAAACATGGACCAAAAGGGGGAAGCCAAAAGGTCAAAGGGTCGGCTTTGGGCAAGCGAGAACAGCAATGAACTTGGACCCTGTTCCACGTTGCCATGGAACCTGACGGTTTTGGGGTCCCAGAAGGCTGGCCCTTTGGGTTCCATGTTAGTGGACCAGTACCCAGCACCCTTTTGCAACCGGTTCCTTTGGCCCAAAATCAGAACCCAAGGCAAGGAAATTTGGTGAACAGTTTAGCCAAACACCGGGAATCGCTTCAAAAGTTGCACTTCACTGGTGGGTTCCTTTGAAGCTGCCGAAAATGGGACTTCGGGAGGGTGTTCCTATCTCTGGGGTACACAGCGAATCATATTGTCTGGCTCTGCTTGACATTTAGTCTACGCTAAAATATAAAACCCTTTTGGACAAACCCCCAGACGTCTGCCCGATCCACACCCCGCCTGCATGCACGTCGAGCGCCGCTGCCGCGCGGTCCGCGCTCGGATCGCTGCAGAGCAGCACGCGCAGGCCGTTGGGCAGCGTAAAGGGCTCGTAGAGGCCTGGGTGGCTCGTCGCTTTTGGGGAGGCCTCACTTTAAGAGCTTTTCGCGTCTCTCCTATTAAAACAACGAGGCTTAATTTCAACATACCCTGTTTTCTTTTTTTACCTGGGACCTAGGTTTCATCCAAGTTCAACACTAAGACGAGTGTGTACACATGGCTCCAGTATATTCCAAATTCAAGGATTCGGATCTGTTTGGCCGAAACGTATCCCAAGCAAGTGGATGCATTCTGGACACATCACCTTCTACCAAATGGACCATCCAAAACATGACATCCGACTTGGGAAGCTTCAGCTATGGGCTTTGGAGGTCACATATACTACTTATATAAGGGGTACACCCTGCCTTGCAAGCTTATATTATTGGTAGTATCTTAATTATCCATACCAAACCCGTACCTGGAAATGCCCCTGATTCTCATTTAACATGGATTCCTTTGGTATCAAGACGTTCTACCAACATAGTTCTGCTTTACATGGCACAACCCCAATGAAACAAGGTAGTAGAACCACCTACCACAAACGGTTAATGCATGCTCGCAAGACTGAGTGGATGCTTCAACGTCCTTAGGATTTGGACATTTGGAAGTCAAATATCCTTAGGGTTCCCATGGGTATTCAACCTCTTCATTGGTTTGCCACCATACCTTTCTGGGCCTGAGAAAAACAACGAGAACAAACAGCTATGGGCCATACCGTTTACGGGCGGGGGGGGTCTTTGACAACACCCAAAGCTCTGCCTTAGGGTTCTTTAATCTGAGAGTGGCCCGTAGGGTTCTATGTGAAAGGGCTTCTGAAGGGTTTCAAAGTGTTCCTTAGTATGTAGGGCCATCTTATATCAAGCAAGCTTCTCAGCAAGCTTTCACGGCGAGTGCAGCGGGCTTCTTGCCTTATACCCAATGTTTATATTTTCACCGCTTCTATGATTTGGGTTTGCTCTCAAACCAAAGGGGGACGGGCCCCATTTAGTTCCCCCCGTTTTGTGACAAACCAAGTTTCAGCTCTTTGTGGACTAGGAGAGCGATGTTCCAGCACTTGAGTTGCCCTTGACGTACCTTTTGGCATTCCAGGCAGCTCAGCCCTGCTTCTGTTGGCAGGGTATGAATTTCAACTGGGGACCATTGCGGAACGTTTGGTAAACATCATTCAGGTGATTCCATGCCCACCTCTATGCCCACCAAACCTTTTTTGGAGGTTCCCTACCGAAACTTCACAGCCGCTAGCCTGTTGATGTTAAAAGGACATCCTTCCACAAACCATTGACAAACGGGTGCCACTTAAGACTTGGCAACTGGGACAGGACCGACAGAAGGGCAGGCACGTGGCTTGAAACTGAGATGCTCGTCAAAATAGGGGGAGGGCCAGCCCTTCTTTGAGATTCACATAGTTTACAAGGGAAGGCACATATCTCATACCCGAACGGCCCGAACAGGTACCACCTTCCACGGATTTCCAACAAAAGCTCTGTTGATATTGCTTCGAATTTCCCTTCCCCGTGCACCGAACACACTTGAAACCAGGAAGCAACTGAAGGCTAGATTGACCACGAACCTCTTACCTTCCATTCGCGCGTTTGGCGCCAAATGCAACATGTTGTCAGGCCGATTCCTTTCAAAACCAAGAAGCCAGGGAATAAACAACACTCAGCAAGATGGTGCAGAAATGGACCCCCCTGCAACTCTCCAGAAACCTAGCCCTGAGCCGCTCCAAACCACCCCAGGGCTTGTTTGGGCAGAGATGCCAAGGTTTCAGCTGTTGCAGTACAAAGCTGTTGGAGAGTACCATTCACAAACTGGGCTGTCCTCAGATCCCCTGCTAACAGTTTAACTGTTAGTGGGTTACATGGAAACCCCCACTAAACCAAAAAGCTAAAAAGCTAAGGTTCTCTGAATGCTGATTGAAAGGTGACAGCACCGGAGCGTCTCTTGCCAGGCTGCGATTGTCCAGAGGGCTCTTCTCCTTAAGTCTGGCATCCCCAAAACAGGAGCCCCAAAAGGTGACGCTCCAAGAGGAGGTTCCTCTAAAACACGCAGCGTTTGAGGTACGTGAATCCGATTTTTGGGTGTACCTCTAAGATGAATCCTTCGTAGACCTAAAAGGCTGTTGCTTGGCCGTGGCAATCAACATTGCTCCATAAACCCAAGAAGTTTGTACATGACAACCAACATGGAATCAACGTAATCAATTCGTTTGGACAAAATGCTACAATTCGTTAAACAACAGATGGATTTCGACCTCGATGCTTCTGCACCTGTGGTCCCGTCCAGCAAAACTTGTTTTGCATAGATTCCTCTCGGACGCCTTGTGACAAGGAAGCCGAGGTTGCATGTTTAGGATCCTTCTCTTGGCCTGGAGTGCAAGACCATGATTATTTCAATATACAGTATACATAGGCACGTTGTTTTGACCCTGTTTCGGGGCGGTGGAAAGGGAACCCAAAGGGAAACTGCGGAAGCTTCCTGTGTCTTCCCAAAGGAAGTTTGAGGAACTTCGGGAGCTTCTGTGTAAAGAAGAGCGCCATAAGTTTGCTTGTCCGCGACCACATGTCTTGCTTTCGGGGACTTCGTTTTGTCTAGAATTAATTGCTGTCGCGGTGGTTTCGCAGCGGGACGGGCACTTTTGTAATAAGATTTCGCAAGTCTTCCGCAGCCTTTGACCGTGGTTTTTTCCGCGGCTCTATAGGACACCCCGGAGACCATCGGAGACCCAAAAGCTTGCAGCTCAACCTATATTAATAGGGGGGTGTCACCCACAAAAGTGAAGGATTCACACTAAAAGTGGTTCCCCTGTCAATTCCTTAATGGTTTATGAATCCGGGTGTAACATTAGAACACGTAGGAGAATGATTTGGGCTCAGGGATGTCAAACCACACTCCACGAAAGCGGTCTCGGAGTGGCCGACGGGCGCAAACCAGGGCAAATAAAGGAAGACCTTCCAAGGCGCAAAAGCATCTGAAGCGTCTATTTTGTTTTCTCCCCCTGGGGAAAAAAAAACAAAAAAAACATATTTTCAGTAGTGGTAGATTCCCTTTAAGACCAACAGGGGAAAATAACAAATATTCTGAAGCAAATGAAAGGAAGTCTCTTTCTCTTGCTCCCTTAGAAAGGCAAACAAAGCTTGGTAGTGCCCATGTCCCATCCTCCACAACGGTTGACCATCCATCCATCATCCATCCCTTTCCATAGCCACTTGGGTGTGGCTCAAAATTAAAGAGCTAGTTTTTCCGCGGTTTTCGTCCTTGTTGCCATTTACCAGGGGTCCATTTTGGGTACCCAATTCCCCCCACACTTCCAAGCGTCCACCTCGCGCGTCAAGCCGCGCCCCGCGCGCGCGGCCTTCCTCGCCGCGGAAGCGGCGGCGGCCGCCAGCGCCGCGCTGAAGGAGAGGCCCCGGCGCCTCGAAAGGGCTGGGCGTCAACATCGGGGATTTGGGTGTCTCGTTGTTTTTTTTGTTGTTTTTTGGGGGGCCCCACCAAAAAAGGTGTGTTTTAGAGGATCCATCCCCCAACAAAGGTATTTTTTAGAGGACCCCCGAAGATAGGTGGTTGTCCTTGAGGCTTTTTGGGTGTGTCGTTTTTTGCTTTTTATAGGACCCCCCGAAAAATAGGTTGTGGTCCTTAAGGCTTTCCTTTAAACCGGATCCGAAAAAAGTAACCACACAAAAAGAGACAGACCCATTTGGACCCCCAGAATGGTGGAGTTCAAATCTTTATGTTTGGCAGCAAACCGGTGGGTGGCTAGTGCAGGGTGGTCAGCTAATGATATCCGCGTAAAGCAACCGGCGCTGAAGGCAACAAAACAAACAAGATCGGCGATAGTGCCTGAGTGAGAAAAGCGTGCGGAACAAGATTTAACTTGGCCGCGTTTACTCCTTCACTATGCTAAAACGTGTTCAGCTCATTCTCAGAGCTCTGCAATTGACTCCCTGTTTGACACGTTACCTCATTTCGCACAAATCACACTGCCCTTGCAAGAAAGTATCCACAACTTGTGCTAGGCTCCAAACAGACCTCATGAATCACAAGGGTTCCATGGCTTGACAAAGCGACCCCAATGCGGGGGCTGCATGAATTGGCCATGAACGGCTTGTGGGTTCATCTCCGGATGAGAACCCATCATTCACCAACCTCTGGTAGCAGGGCGCCGTCCCTAAGGGATCCGAATGAGGGGATGATTTGCCCAGATCCTCGGGAGTCACATTTCACTCTCATGCGTTTAAACGTCGACCTCAAGATTAATCTCTTAAACCCCACCGGGCCCTGTTGGTGCTTCCTAACTCGGGCCAATGATTCAAGGAAGGACACACCCGCCTGCAACATGTCTGATGTCAAGCCTCAGGGATGGCCAAGGCAGGGGTCTTAATGCAGCGTGTACACAGTCGCTTTTAACCCGGCCCTGCGAAACCACTTGAAAGAATCCTCGCTTCAAATTGGCAGGCCCGTGTCCAGCACGCCGGGCTGACCTGCTGAGTGCGGCCAAAGATGACCAAACTGTTTCGATGCCTTGACCAAATGGATGAAACCCGCTGGCTGGGTGCCAAGTACCACATCCTTTAGTTGATGTCCTGCAAAGCAAGCCAGACTGGAGGCACAATTTTGGTGATTTTTCCAGACCCGTCTTTGCACCCAACAAGCCCCGCAAAGACCCATGGGTGGCTTTCACGTGACCTTTGGGTGAGTGACATGGGGCGAAGTGGGGCTTCTTGGAAAATGCGAGTCAGTCGAGCCGCCCCAGCTGCAAGGCCGGTCCCGCTTGCTCCTCTCGGGCAGACCCAATTTTCGGGGAAAGCAACTGACTTCAGTGGCCAAACCAAGTCCACAAGCCACTCCAAAAGCCAGTCCAAAAGCAAGTCCACAGCCAGTCCACTGATTCTGCATCGGATTTATTGGAGGTCTTCGGGGTCTCAAACTTTGGGGCCCCCAAATAAAGCGGGAGCGTCCGGCGCTGTCAAAACACGGCACAGCAGTGCGCGCGGCTCGTTTCGTTCGTTTCACCCGGAGCTGCGCTGGTTGCTGGGACTACACGCACAAGGCGTTTGAGCAAAGTGTGCGCCAGTTTATTGAGTGGCTGTCCAGAAGAGTGCAGCGACTTTGAGACGCATCACATCTACCATTTTTGGTTGAGCCCCCATGGCACAGCGCGGGCAAGAGCGTGCTTTGCAAAAGCCGGAAACAACCCGAAACACTGCGCACAACGATGCCCAGACAATCCATCTAGGTGTTTTTTTTTCTCGAAAACAAGACCAATTTTGAGGGTACATGTGGGTACATATTTACCTACATGGGATTGTCTGGGATGGGTTGGTCAGCGGAGGCTTCTTGCAAACCTCTGCACACTTTTGCAGAGGACGCAACGAAAACTTGGCGTCTGGTCCGATGCTAACAAAGCATAAGACTTGGGCTGGTTCTCTTGTTTTTTTGGGTTCCCCTTGGCTTTCCTTGTTTTGAAAAAACAACAACACACAAATTGTCTTCCCCAAACATATCAAGTCCAGAAACTCGGAAGCAAGGCATACACTGCGTCTGGGTTGGTCTGGGTGAACCTAAAACCCCATTTTATCGTGGGAACCCTCCCTGGACAAGCCCGACATCCGCAGCAGGCTTGCGCCAAACCAATCACATCCCAACGTAGTACACTAAATACACCTGTGCATATAGATATATACAAGTATATATATATATATGGTGAACCTTCAGATGCAACAAACATGCTGACGGAAAAGGGTTGTTTGGGCAATTGGTTGTTCCGGGCACCAGGTGGGACTGATCAAGATATAAGACAAGTCTCAAAAAAGTCACGAGCCCTGCTAGGAGGTTGATGTCCCTTGGGTTTCTCTTCAAGACCTACCCCAAAAAGAGCACTTCCCCACTCATGGAGGCTGACAGGAGGCATCTGGATGTCTTTCCTTTTGAAGCCGCCAAAGGCGGCTCACTTCCACGGAAAGAGGCGTCCCTCCAAAACACGAGCTGATCTGGCTGCTTCGTCCTGCGCTCGTTGCTGCACCTTCCGCAGGCTTGGCGGAGTGATGGGAGCGGAGGGCCAGCGGCCACACAGCGGCAGCATGTGCCAGCGGCTGGCCACACAAGCGCCTGGCCAGTGCGGCAAGCGGATTTGATGCGGCACGCGTAAACTTCCATTTGGTTAAGACCCCTGGAAAAATAGAAATATTTCCAGTAGTGATAGATTCCCTTTAAAACCAACAGGGGAAACTAACAAACATCTTGTGCAAATGGAAGTAAAGAGAGATGCCTTTCCTCAAAGTGTAATGGATTATTTTTGCAGACCTCTTTCAACATGTGGTGGATCCAATGTACACCAAGTAAGGGTCACTAAAAGGAAACCAGCCCATTGTAAGGAACCCCTATTTTGAGAAACTCCCGTAGACTTCAAGCTGGGAAAACTGTGCCGACTCGAACAAAGGCTCCGAAGTGCACCGTTCAGGCGAGTTTCTGGAGGGGGGGATCTATGGATGTCCAGCCCGCTTGAGCAGCGCCCCAACTTGTGCTTCTACTAACATGGTTGTGGTTTAAATAGGCCTTATAACCTTTGTGACACCAGGTCGTAGAACCACGTAAACTCATCAATACAACCTTGGGCGAGGCACACAGGGATATTCAACCCAGTTTGTACATAACCATGATTATAGCTGGGGTTAGGCTGGTGCTCTTGCCATCGCGAGGCGCTGTTAATCGGCGGTCGATATATATATATATATATGTATATATATACGTGTACTAGATATATACCAAGGACCAGCATACGGCGTGAACTCCAACGACGCGAATCAAAGAAATAGGGAAAGCAACTCAGTGACTCAATGCGCTGAATCAACGCCACTGTTTTCGGAGCAAAAGTCCGAGCCTTCTCTGCAGAAGTGGAGGACTTCTGCACCAAAGGCTGTCCGCAGCCCGCGCGCCCCCGCGCGCGGGCGAGATGCGCCACGAGCACTTTTGGCTGATCCGCCTTTTGGCGCAAAGTAGATGAGGTTTTTCCTACTCAGCGCTACTCAACCTGGTTGACACCAAAAACTTAAGACCGCAAGACCAACTCTGTGTGTGTGTGTGCGTGTGTGGATCAAGGCGCTGTGCTTGACTACTTCGTACTCTCAATCGCATGTGCGTGTGTGGCTTCAGACTCTGGGGAGCTACTGCTATTCAACTGCTCGCGGCTTCAAACACCTCCAGCTGCGCAAACAAGTGACATGTCATAGAAAGCCAGTATAAAAGGGCCTGAGAGTTACGAGTACCACGCTCACTTGAACGACCATGGCGAAACCCAACCAAGAAGGCCTCGCTCGCCCCGAATCTCTACCAACCTAACCATCACATCACACGATCGTCGTTTTGAGTTTGCGGGGAACATGCCTGACCATTCACAAACCAACATGCTTCCCGGCGTGCCGTCGCCTCCGCATGCGCGGGCCTGAAGCCAAGAAAGTTGTTCCATTTGGGTCCCTGTGTCCCGGTGCCAAGGCATGCTGAGACATAAGGCCAGAAAGACCTGGGCTTGCTTCAATGTTTGAAGCTGCCTTGATACGCACTGGTGCTGAGGACTTGCGACTGCGACAAGGTTGGCTCAACCATGCGAGCAATGTGGAGAAAAAATGGTTTGGCGTTTATAATGGCGTCTCTGCAGATTGAACCCCAGTAGAGTAAGCTCCGCTTGGCCCTTTCTGCCGGGTTCCCACTATTTCGCCTTCCACATCTTGTTCAAGGGAACTCACCTTAAATTCACCAAAAGGCCATGTTTCAAAGGAAAACACAGGGACCGAGCCTTGGGAGATTCTGTGAATTTGCGCCTGGAGCAGCATTCCGTGTTTACCTCTGCAGATTGAGAGAAGGAAGTAGTGTCCTGCGAAAATGATGTGTTTTTGGATTCCATGCCAACTCGACAGGTTGTATGTGCAGAATGCTCAGTGATAAAACTGTAAAAGTGTACAAGAGGATTTGACACAACTTGAAACAACATTCTAGCTTTTCCATTGCAGATATCCGAGAAGATGAATGCTGGGACCCATGGGAATGTAAACCGTTGCGCGATTCGAGAGGTGGTTAAAGGTGGGTGTGCTGAGTGCAAGTACGGGGTTGTCTCAACTTGAGTACCCAAAAAACGGCCTGTCTCCCGATAGGTTCCCTTTGAAACCAACCAAAAGGGTTTCCGCGCAAAAGCCAACAGGAATTTGGCGAGTAAATCCTATTTTCTCATGGTATTTTGTGGAGTGCACCCAATGTCAGCCCCATTACAGTTGATGACAGTTGATATGGACCATTCATGTTTTTCATTGTGGGCTTGTCTGTATTTAGGGGACCCAGAAATTTGCCGTTGTCTTTGTGGTTTTCCTTCGAATCCACCAAACAAGGGGTACCCAGCCTCAAAAAAAGCGAGCCACCTGTGTGTGTTTCTCTTTTCACACCGGGACGGGGCTTGATGAGGCCCGCCCTGGTGGCAGTTTGGGTAGAAACCATGCAAAGTGAGGAAGCTCAACGGTTGTCAGGATCAGTCGTACTGTGGATGGACGAAATCCTGCACCACCTAAGAAACCCTGGAATGATGAGTCCCTAGTAAATACCAATAAACAATGGTTTCGTCGTTGGATAATCTGGCAACGACCTGCAACATGATTATTGAGGTGAACACGGTATGCGCAACATGTGGATAAGAAAGAGAAAAAGTTGACGCTGAACAGGCATGCCAGTATACACTATTGTCAAAATTACCTTTGACATTGACAATACCTTAAGTTACCAACAGTCACTTCAGGCTATCTAATGTATATACATACAAAATAATAATGCACAACAATTTCAGCATGCAATGCCCTTCCTTTGTAGAGTGGCTTCGTCATATGTGCATACATTCATACACGTTTTCTCACTGGTTCATTGTTGAATCTGTGCCAATGCCAGCTTCCACAGATGGACAGTTGTGATATTCGGCCGACTCACT